ACACATGTTTCTTTTCCAACTATTTATTTATGAGTGAAGTATGTATGTGTATATATGTATATATTGTACTATTCTTAGTTAGTGTATTGTCTGTCTTGTCTTAATGTTGGTTTAAAATGGAGCACTGTAACAAAAAATAATTTCCCCCAGGGATTAATAAAGTATTCTGATTCTGATTCTGATTCACCTGTCAGCTGTTTAACACCTGCTGATCACGGAGAGTGGAATATGTAAATGGATCACACCAGTTAAACAAAAACTTGTGTTTTACTGTCACAGTCTGTGTGGAGAAGAAGAGAAAACTGCCTGTTTCTGTTTATTAAGCTTCATGTCAGGAGGAAGTTCAGCTCAGCTGTTCCTCAGGTAGCTGTGAAGATCAGCTGCTATTATTTGGCACAGGGGAAAGTGGGGCGATTTGGTTTTTGATTGTTGCGTATGAACAGTTATAGAAAAGTCTGAAAACATTTCACAGATGTGTTAGAGATTTGGTAAGCTAGACTGTGAGTCGATACTCAAAACTGTTGGATGATGCCTTTTTTCAAAATGGTGTTGTTGGGGTAATTTGTGCCAAGGGGCCACACTTATGAATATTTTAAACATATTATTTTATTGTAACTGTAGATTGTATTTTTATAGTTTTCCACTGTGACATTCTTAATTTCAGACCAAAAACAGAAACAGACCCTCATGCCACAGAGTTATAATAGAGAGAGTTTACTGAGTGAACAAGGTGGAGAAGGGAAGTCCATTCGTCAGGTGGCGAGGAAGATCAACATCCAGGATGACATTAAAATGATACATGGAAAAGAAGAAGATGGATGGTGTAAAAGTGAATATGTAAAGCTAGCTAATATATAATATAACGTAATATAATGTTTGTGCTTTTGTTTTAGTAACTTACTGTGTGACCAGACGTGAATGTTGCAAACGGAAACTAGCTTGATGTAACAAAAGACGCAAGAAAACTGCAAACTACTGATAATGGAGAAAAGGTAGAGAAAAACAATAGTAGAAAAATGAATGGCTCTAGCTACAGTCGACAGGGGAATAAGCTCTTACGTTGGTTCGTTGTCTGATACACGGCAAGGAATAATAAAAGTCATTCAACAACCATCAGTTCTGGCCTTCTCAGTTCGGCTGGATGCTACAGATGGAAATGCCATCAAGTCTTTGACACAACATCTAAAAGGCACTAGCAGCCTTTATATGTTCGTTTCTTTGTGAATACTCAAAAGCCAGTTCATGCACAAAGAAATTAGATTTTGATCCAGCTGGCAGGGATATCACATGCAAAAGCAGGTTTGGCTAAGTGTGCATTTATTAAGAAAAAGTAATAGAGAATATTCATAATTATTTCCCATAGAGAAAATGTGCATAAAACCATTAACCGCATCACAAAAACTTGGTGGTAGAGCCAGAAGGGAGCAGTGAGTAGCATCAACAGCTGGGATGTTATGGAGTAGGCCAGATTTGTGAAGACAACTACAGTTAATTTCGTCTTCATTTGAATGTCATTTTGTTCTGAACATGTCAGAACATTTTTACTGCTCAACATCCTGAAATATGTGTACATGTTTTAGTTGGACATTACGGTCGCTTTAAAATCACTTTAAGTAAAAACTGGCACAACTCACCCCACTCTCCCCTACATTAATTAAAGACATCTCATGCGTTCTCCTGTTAACAGCTCGATATTGCATCTTTTTTTTTAATGAACTTTATTTAGAACAATAACAATGACAAGCTCAGAGACAAGCGACATATTGAATCATTCAGAACAGAATCACACCTCCTTTTTCTTTTCTTCGATATTGCAATCTTTAACATGACCGTACAGCGGAAACGTACCTGTGTGACGTCAGCCGTTAGGTGCTCTGTGCTCGGGGTCAGAGGCTGAATAAATCATTAGATCCCCGATTTTATTTGCTTGTATCTGTTCTATCACCTTGGCGCCTCCAACCACACGCTACGCTGTGTCCCACGTTTATGACGTTACACTCTTTACCACTTTGTGTCGGGTGAATGTGACGTCACTATGTGATTATAGATGAGTAAAAAAAAACAACCCCCCCCCCCCCCCCGAAAAAACCACTGTGAACATGAATTGAATATTCAGAAGACATTTGTTTAAATAGTTCTACAAACCTGAGCTGTGGGTGTGTTAAGCTTTTTGGGGTTTTTTTGCTGGTAC